TTGTGTTCTTAAAATAAAAAAAGGCACATGCTAGAGAAAATTGCACACTGAATGTAGAGAGGATTTTTTTTTAAAAAAAATCATACATTGGGGTGGAAAGAGCGCGTAGGAAAAAGCAAAAATTGGACCGAATCTCCTTTGATTGCTGGTATTAGCAGAGCTGGAAACAGGAGAATTTTAAACTGGAATAAAGTGATGTGAAATCTTTCGGGAGGCTGAAAAAGCTATATTTCAACCCGGTTGGAACAGAATGGATGAAAACGGTCAATTTTGCCCCAAAAACACATCAGTGAATGGAAACACAGCCGAATGTAACTACCGGTAAATTTAGGGGAAGGCAATTAAATTCAGCAGAGGCGATGCAATTAAAGGAATGAAGCAAACGTAGCTGGATTTTTTTGCATCGTTAGGAACAATCGCAAAAGACGCACAAGCTCTGCGGAACGATTTCGTAAGATTTCGAAGTCATGCTTAGCTGTCAAAATCAAATCACTGGAGGTTTTTAAGAGGAGACTGGACAGTCACTTGTCGGACATGGGATAGGTTCGCCCGCTTGAGCAGGGGGCTGGACTAGAAGACCTCCGAGGTCCCTTCCAGCTCTATTCTATTCTATTCTATTCTATTCTATTCTATTCTATTCTATTCTATTCTATTCTAGTGGATTTATTTGATCAAAGTTAAAAGTTTTGATTTGATCAAGATTAAAGTGAGGCCAAGAGGTCCAAAGATTAGAAGTGAGTTTGGAAATCAACTTTGTGTCACTTTTCCGTATCTGCCAAGCATCCTTTTCCAGGTAGTCCTCGGCAGTGCTTTTTTTTTGTAAAAAAAAAAAAAAAAAAGGTGCCAGAACTCACACACGTCATACAACCCACCTTGCCTACCCTACAAGGTTCCATCCCAAAAAGGTGCCGGAACTCCGTTTTGGGCGTTCTAGGACAAAAAAAGCCCTGGTCCTCAGCTTACAGCCATTTGCAGTGATTCACTTAATAGCCGTCATAAAATTAAACTGCATCTCTTTTGACAACCACCTTGCTTAGTAACAAAAATTCTGGTCCCAGTTCTCGTTGTAAATCAAGGGGTACCTTTATACAGTTTTCTCCCTCTCAACTTAAAATCTACCTTAATATTTGTAAAGGGAAAAAAAAGGAGAATATACTTCAGATAGCTACCTCTTAGAGGCCAGAATCAAGTCAGCCTTCAAAGGGGGGGGAACGTTAACACCTCTGAGCCACTTCTAATATGTGTCAAATACACATATTAAAATAAAGGAATTCAGGAACAGCTGCAAATGAAATTAAAGTTTATTAGCTAACCTCTTATTCATAGGAAGCTTCAGCACTTATCTTCATTTTCTATTCTATTCTATTCTATTCTATTCTATTCTATTCTATTCTATTCTATTCTATTCTGCCAACACAAGTGCGTAGGGTCAAGGCCATGGTTTTCCCAGTTGCAATGTATGTGAAAGCTGGACCATAAGAAAGGCTGAGCGCCAAAGAATGGAGGCCTTTGAACTCTGGTGCTGGAGAAGACTCCTGCGAGTCCCCTGGACTGCAAGGCGATCAAACTGGTCAGTCCTGGAGGAGATCAACCCCGACTGCTCTTTAGAAGGCCAGATCCTGAAGTTGAAACTCAAGTCCTTTGGCCACCTAATGAGAAGGAAGGACTCCCTGGAGAAGAGCCTGATGCTGGGAAAGATGGAGGGCAAGAGAAGAAGGGGACAACAGAGAAGGAGGGGGCTGGATGGAGTCACTGAAGCAGGAGGCGTGAGCTTCAGTGGACTCCAGAAGATGGTAGAGGACAGGAAGGCCTGGAGGAACGTGGTCGATGGGATCGCGATGGGTCGGACACGACTTCGCAACTAACAACAAAAGTTCTATTCTATTCTATTCTATTCTATTCTATTCTATTCTATTCTATTCTCATCCATTCTCTATTCAATTCTATTCTTCATTCTCTATTCTATTCTATTCTATTCTATTCTATTCTATTCTATTCTATTCTATTCTATTCTATTCTAATCTGCCAGACGAAATCTACAAATTTTAGCTTTTATTTTTAAAATAAAAGGCCTCCGAGAGAATCCCCCACCCCGCCACTCTTCAGCTCCCCTTCTGTCGTTCCCCATCAGAGGGACTAGAACCATACTTTTTATTTTAACGGAACGTTGGTCGAAAGCAGCCCAGAACAGTCCCGATTTCCACGCCCCTCCGCCCCCCACTCCTTCCTTCCCACAGATTGTATCTCCTTTGAATTGCAAACCGGTGCAATCCATGGGAGACCGCTTTGCATAAAACCTCAAACTGAGCATCAGCGTCTCTTTCTGGACAGTCTGGATGGATGATCTGGTTCTCCACGTGGGTGGGACCTCTTGCAAAATCCAGCCGCCGATTCCCAGAGAAATCAAGCATTCATCCCCGAAGGAAAAAAGCAGATTTTCCTGCTCAACCAGCCAGTTTAGATCTTACGGCAGATGTTCCTTGCGGTGTGAAGAGACTCAAGAGATCAGTGTTGGACGGTCTCCTGGCCAGAGTGGACCCTTTTTTCGGAGCTGGGGAGAGAGAGGTGAGTGCCAGAGGAAAAGGGTGTGTGTGTGTGTGTGTGCGTGTGTGTGCGTGTGTGTGTGTGTGTGTGTGAATCTCCCTCTCCCCATTTTTTTCCCCCAGAGTGGGAAGCTGCATCTGGGGAGACCTCCATATTCAGGAGCAGTCTACCTTTGTCTACTACGACAAAGAAGGGTTTGATTCTTTTCCTGTCCTGCTCTGGGGCTCTCTGCAGATGTCTGAACGGTTCGGCATCGCAGCCGGTGGTAGATTCGCTTCCTTTAATTTGGGGTCCTTGGGGGTGCCCTCCCCCCCAATAAAACCCATTTTATGAAACCGACCTGAATCTGGTTTTAATTTCTCCAATTAAGCAGGCAACGTTGTGCAGGGCAATGGATAGTTTAATTTAACTGGGAACATCCAGGGCTTCTATTTGATCTGGCCCCTTTTTTCCCCCTCCTTGATCCACGAGGACTAGAATCTTTGAATGGCAAGGGGATTGCTCTTTGCCGGCTTAACACGTCAGGTTTGATGTTTTAAGGAGGGCTGGGGAAGCAGTCCGTCTTGCTGGGAATCCAGAGATCGAATGGTCCTCCTCTTGCTTGGAATCATGAGGACTAGTGTCTTGTTTCATCTTTAGGGGAAAGCTATTGTCCCAAGAGGGTAGGTAAAAAGAGAGCTGAAAGCCGTTTGGAAAATTCTGGCTGAGTCTGAATAAATAAAACTAGATTTAACTGCTGATTTGGGTGGCTGCGGGCTTTCTTCCGTAACTCAGCATCCCCCCAAAGAGGGCTAGCCTCTTGAATTTCTCTCCAAAGCGCAGAAATTTGCCTGCTGGCTTTCTGATTTTGGGGTGATCGAGTCTCTTATTTTGAATCTGTTCTTTCTGCCGTTGTAAGCAGCAAGACAGGCTCCTTATCCAGCCCACCTTGAAGGCAGCAGAGCCCCCCCCCCTTGCTCAAAAATATCCTAAAATGATCTATTAAAACCCTGTCTTTTTGCAAGGACATTTTTTTCTCTTAAATTTCTTCTCTTCCTCCTACAAATTTTTTATTTTGCCTGCTTTTTTGCCGGCTGAAGAGCAACGAAGGATCCCAAAACCTGCCTGGTTTTTTTTGGGGGGGGGTGGTCTTGCTTGGTCCTAAAACAGGCCATCCCTGTGGATCAGACCAGCGTCCCATGCAAAGATGCCATGGGGTTTTAATTTTATTTCTTTAATTTTATTTTTTACATGGGTGGTGGGGTGGGGGTTGAATTTCGGGGAGTCAAGTCAGTTTGGGGGGGTTCTTGATGCAGGGAGGGTGTTTAAGAGGGGCGGCCGTGCAAAAAAAACCCTTCCAAATAAAACGAAATCAATCAGCGTCTTTCTGTTTTCTTTTGATTTGAAGGACCCGGCCTTTAATCAAATCTTGGGAATCGCAGCCATGTCTTGTGCGGCCCTTCAGTTTTTCTTTGTGTCTTTGTGGCTTCTGCAGCTGAGTTGTGTCCCAACAGGTAAGCGTGTAAAATGAAGTATCGGCAAGTGCCAGCAAGTCCTGCAATTAACTCACTTGCCAAATGTGCCCCAAAGCTTTCCGTTTTGCAAATGACTGAGAAAATAATGGGGAAGAGAGCCTCCACGTTTAGAGGCAATCTAGCTGTCTTCCGGAAGACATCCGGAGATGCAGGGAAAACGTTAACAAATTAGCACTGTCTAGTCTGGGGGTGAGGGTCTAGGAGCCAGGAGCCAGGAGGTGGTGTGTTCAAGTCCTGCCTTAAGCGGGTTGGGTGATTTTGGGCCAATCGCTGGGACACTTTGAGTTCTAGTCCCGCCTTAGGGAGGAAAGCTGGCTGGGCGACTTTGGGCCAATCACCAGGAAACTGGGAGTTCTAGTCTCTCCTTAGGCTTGAAAGCCGATTGGGTGACTTTGGCCCAATCGCCAGGAGACGGTGAGTTCTAGTTCTGCTGGTCATCTTGAGAAAGAAGCAGAAAAACAGAAGCCTAAAAAAATGCCTAAGAAACTATTAGACTGGTTTCGTCACCTTTATCAAGCCAAATTAATTTATTCTTTCTTTCTTTCTTTCTTTCTTTCTTTCTTTCTTTCTTTCTTTCTTTCTTTCTTTCTTTCTTTCTTTCTTTCTTTCTTTCTTTCTTTCCTTTCCTTTCTTTCTTTCTTCTTTCTCCCTCTCTTTCTCTCTCTCTCTATCTCCTCTCTCTCTCTCTCTTTCTTTCTTTCTTCTTTCTCTCTCCCTCTCTTTCTCTCTCTCTCTCTCTTTCTTCTTTCTCTCTCCTCTCTCTCTTTCTTTCTTTCTCTCTCTTTCTCCTCTTCCTTCCTTCCTTCCTTCCTTCCTTCCTTCCTTCCTTCCTTCCTTCCTTCCTTCCTGCCTTCCTTCCATTTTTTCCCCTTCCTTTCTTCCTTCCTCCCATTGTCTTCCTTCCTTCTTTCCTCCCTCCCTCACTTCCTTGTTTTCCTTTCTTTTTCCCCAGGGGGACGGCCTTGTTCTCCCAGAAATTTTGGGCACGGCTCCTTGGTGTGTGAATGTGGGGCCGATTATTGTGACACATTAGAGCCCGTCACCCTCCCTGATCTGGGGTCTTTCGTTAAGTATGAAAGCAACAAAGCCGGACACCGCGTGGAACGCAGTGAGGGACTGCTGCTGGATAATCCGCCCGAGAACGGTGAGGCCTAGAAGTATGTTTTTATCCCAAGAAAACCAGGACAAAGTGAAGTGTAGTAAGCTTTCACTGCCTTTTGTCCTCATAAGAACCCTGCGAGGTAGGCCTGGATGACACAATGCCTAGTTCTGGTCTAAGGGACCATTTGGTCCAGGGGTTAAGGCACCAAGCTTGAAACCAGGAGAAAGTGAAGTCTAGTTCGACCTTAGGCACGAAAGCCAGCTAGGAGACTGTGAATTCTAGTCCTGCCTTAGCCATCAAAGCCGGCTGGGTGACTTTGAGCCGATCACCAGGAGACGGTGAGTTCTAGTCCCACCTGAGACACGAAAGCCGGCTGGGTGACTTTGGGCCAATTACTAGGAGACGGTGAGTTCTAGTCCTGCCTTAGGCATGAAAACTGGCTGGGTGACTTTGAGCCGATCACCAGGAGACGGTGAGTTCTAGTCCCACCTGAGACACGAAAGCTGGCTGGGTGACTTTGGGCCAAGCGCCAGGAGACCGGGAGTTCTAGTTCCGCTTTCAGCCAGCTGGATGACTTTGGGCCAGTTTTGGGCAGTTTGGAAAACTTTTCATCCCGAACAAATGTAATACATATTTCCTATATAGAGAACCCCAGCCATCTGTGTATTAATTTATTCATGTATTCAACTTCGATGCCATCCCTTCTCAATATCCAGAGCCGCTCTTAGCCACCTCCACAAAAACGCTAGGCCTGTTTCGTTTTAATCTGATTTGAATTTTGGGGTGAAGGATCGCCCGTTTTGTGCCAACCCAGAAGCTGAATCACTCAGCTAAACACGTCAAACACGTTATGCAAACGCCGGCCTTTGTCAAAACAGAAGAATAATTGAACAACCAGGTGGGCGTGCAAGACGACAGGTAAGCATTGTCCTGTATAAAACTGATTATTTTTTTTTTTAAATTCCTCCCTCTCTTTTCTTCTTTTCACTTAGAAAATCTGGTTCTGAAGCTGAAAACGTCCCAGAAATATCAAAAAATCAAGGGCTTTGGCGGGGCTCTCACTGATTCAGCTGCTATTAACATCCTGAATTTGTCGCCGAAAAGCCAGAGAAACCTGCTCAAATCTTACTTCTCCGCCGAAGGTAAATTTTATTTATTTATATACTTATTTATTTATTAAATTTGCTGACCGCCCGTCTTCCCGCAGAATAGCCGGGATTTTAATTATTCATTCCCCGCCTTTATTACCCATTCCCGCCTTCGATTCAGCAATGCCTTGCGTTATCCCGCTTTAAATAATGTTATTTAAGCATTTGGTGTGGGCGGACGGCAGCCAAGGGCAGTTCCTTGGTGTGGCTGAGAATTCCCAGTCGGTTGTCCCGGTTAATGTGATGGGACAACTGGTCCTTTTGTCAGGGCGGGGCTAAGACAGACACAAAATTTACAGGTGGTCCTTGACTTATCACCACAAGGGTATCCATTGCCAAGCAAGACGGTTAGGTGAGCTTACGACCTTCGCGGGTTGTTGAGCCAATCGTCGTTAAGTAAATCACACGGTCGTTAAATGAATCTGGCTTCTCCCCCCCCCCCATTGACTTGGCTTGCGGGAAGCCGGCTAGGAAGGATGCAAATGGAGATTACACGAGCCCAGGACCATCATACACGCGGGATTGCCAAGTGCCTGAATATTGATCACATGACCGTCAGGATGCTTGCAAAGGGGTTGTAAGTGGAGGACCAGTCACAATGCGCTTTTTTCAGCGCCGTGGTAACGTTGAGCGGACGCTAAACGAACCGTTGTAAATAGAGGACTACTTCTAAGAGGTTGCTGACCAAGGTCCTGAAACCAAGCCACGTCCTTGTTGGCTAAGTCTAGAGGCATTGTCCAAGGTGCTGAAATGCCTCTTTCCTTTGTATATTCCCTCCTCTGCTGCTTGGACTACAGCTCCCATCATCCCCCCCTGGGGTCTAGCTTGACTGGAGAGGTGGGATTCGGCCGTTTGGGGCTAACCCCCATCTCCGAGTCTTTTGTTGTGTTTTTTGAACCCAGGGATCGAGTATACCTTGGTCCGGGTGCCCATGGCGAGCTGCGATTTCTCCGTGAGGCTGTACACGTACGCGGACGTGGAGAACGATTTTGACCTGAATAACTTCAGCCTAACGGACGAAGATATCAAAATGAAGGTGGGTCCTCAACCATCGGCAGAAATACGAGAATATTGGGACAGATCTGTACCCAGAAGGACACTGTTGCAGAAGAAGGCCAGAGGAAGGGGAAAAAAAAAGGGGGGGGGGAATTTTAATCAAAATCATGGGGTCTAAGCCAACGGGCCTTTCCTTAGGAATTTTTTTTATTAATTTTATCGTTTTGTATTATTATTATTTATTATTTTTTGTTTTACTGTTTCAAAGGAGTTTTTGCTTTCAACAGCTGCTGCCAGCTGTTCAAAGCAACTCCCCTCCCTTGAAAAGGCTCCTACACAATCATAATAATAAAGTTGGAAGGGACCTTGGAGGTCCTCTAGTCCAACCCCCTGCTCAGGCAGGAAACCCTGTACCATTTCAGACAGATGGCTGTCCAGTCTCTTCTCAAAAACTTCCAGTGTTGGAGCATTCACCGCTTCTGGAGTCAGGTGGTTCCACTGGTTAATTGTTCTAACTGTTAGGAAGTTTCTCCTTAGTTCTAAGTTGCTTCTCTCCTTGATCCGTTTCCACCCGTTGCTTCTTCTTCTGCCTTCAGGCGCCTTGGAGAATAGCTTGACTCCCTCTTCTTTGGGGCAGCCCCTGAGATACTGGAAGACTGCTATCATGTCCCCCCTCGTCCTTCTCTTTGTTAAACTAGACATGCCCAATTCCAGCAACCGTTCCTTATATGTTTTATTCTCCAGTCCCCTAATCATCTCTGTTGCTCTTCTCTGCACTCTTTCTAGAGTCTCAACATCTTTTTTTATGGGAGAGAGCTAAATTGAACGTGTAACGGGGAGCACCTAGGAGGAGAGGGAAGGAAGTGAGGGTCCGTGGCTTTTGAATTGCAATGAGATTAAATAAAATTGAGCTTCGCGCACAAGGTGAAAGGATGCTTTGTCTCCCTGCACATTAGATCCCAATTCTGCAACAAGCACAAGCCGTGGCTTCTCGGCCCCTGTCCCTCTACGCCAGTCCCTGGACGTCTCCCGTGTGGATGAAGACCAACGGCGCCATGACCGGCCGTGGGACCCTCAAGGGGCAGCCGGGCGACAGATACCACAAGGCCTGGGCCAATTATTTTATCAGGTAACCCCCTCTTCCCGTCCAACCCCGCTGAAATTCCAGCAAGGCCTCAAATCGCTCCCAAATCTGTGCAATTTTTCCAGCCTTTATTTTCTGTGGGACGGGGGTGAGTTTGCCTCTCATCGCTCTGATGAAGGTCCTCGCTGGCGGTTCTCGCCGATGGGCGTGCAGCCGAGGAATCAGCTTTAAGATAATAGCAGAGTTGGGAGGGACCTTGGAGGTCCTCTAGTCCAACCCCCTGCTCAAGCAGGAGACTCTGTACTTTAGACAGGTGGCTGTCCAATCTCTTCTTGAAAGCCTCCAGTGATGGAGAAAGGGAGGGAGGGAGGGAGGGAGGGAAGGAGGGAGGAAGGGAAGGAAGGAAGGAAGGAAGGAAGGAAGGAAAAAACAGAACAACAGTTGGAAGGAGGAAGGAAGGGAGGGAGGGAGGGAAGGAAGGAAGGAAGAAAGGAAGGAAGGAAGGAAAAAACAGAACAACAGTTGGAAGGAGGAAGGAAGGGAAGAAAGGAAGGAAGGAAGGAAGGAAGGGGAAAAAACAGAACAGTTGGAAGGAGGGAGGGAGGGAAGGAAGGAAGGAAGGAAGGAAGGAAGGAAAAAACAGAACAACAGTTGGAAGAAGGAAGGGAGGGAGGGAAGGAAGGAAGGAAGGGAGGGAGGGAGGGAAGGAAGGAAGGAAGGAAAAAAACAGAACAACAGTTAGAAGGGACCTTAGAGATCTTCTAGTCCAACCCCCTGCTCAAGCAGGAGACTCTATACCACTTCACACAAATGGCTGTCCAATCTCTTCTTGAAAACCTCCAATATTGGAGCGCCCACAACGTCTGGTGGCCAGCCGTTCCACTGGTTAATCGTCCTCACTGTCAGGAAACGCCTCCTTAGTTCCAGGTTGCTTCTCTCCCTGATTCCTTTCCATCCGTGGCTTCTTGTCCTGCCTTCTGGTGGCTTTGGACATCAGCCTGACCCCCCCTCTTCTTTGGGGCAGCCCCTCAGGTACCAGGTCCAGCAAATTAACCCCATTTTCTTTTCCTCACCCAGATTCCTGGACGAATACGCCAAGTATAATTTGACTTTCTGGGCTATAACTGCTGGCAACGAGCCCACGGCCGGCGACATTATCTTCTACCCGTTCCAGTGCCTTGGATTCTCCCCGGAGCACCAGAGGGATTTCATCGCTGAGGATTTGGGCCCGGCTTTGGCCAACAGCAGCTACAAGGACATCGAGCTGATCATTTTGGACGATCAGAGAGTGATGCTCCCTTACTGGGCCGAAGTGGTAAGTTGGCAACCCCCACCGTCTGAATCCAGCTGGCCATTTTTTTAATGCGTAAAATGCTTGTACGTTTTCGGCGCTCCAGACTTTTCATAGACAAGCGGTCCTCAACTTAAGGAGTGTTCATTCTGCCCGGAATTTCGATCCTAAGTCGTGGTGGTGGCCACTGAGTGGGGTGATCATTGACCGCCCCTGGTTTTATGACCCTTTATTTGTAGCTGTCATTAAGCGAAGGTTGAGGTTGTTAAAGAAATGCAATGGTTGCTTAAGCGTTATAGGCAAGGGGTGTTTTGGCCAGAAGCTGGAATTAAATGCAAAAAATAAAAATAAAAATGG